AAATTCATAATTTGATAAAAAAAAATTGAATTTAACCTCATAGCATCTTCAACACAAAAAGTGTTTTCAAAATTAGTTAGTCAAACAAGCATTTTATATTTCTTTTATTAATTAAAATAAGTTATTAATGGACAGTCCAAAGAAATGGTTATTCATGGGGAAAACAAACACATGTTAATTAATCATGCATGGAATACACGATGAACCAAAAAAAGAGGAAAATTATTTATTTGTTGCTCGTAATCCTTATATTGTTTTTTTTTTTTTTCTTGTTTTTCTTTTGTCCAAAACTATTCCATTCAACCCTTGTTGGAATAATTGTCAAAAAGCTACCCAACCATTTGTCTGCAACTTGATTAACTGATTGTTTAAAATGTTAATTATATTATTTCAAAGCAAGTAAAATTTTCTAGTGAATCAAATATGTGATCTTTGACGCACCGTCCTTGATTCTTAAATTTTTTTTCGTGGAATACATTCATTAGTAGGTTATAGGTCTCTAATGCCCTCTTCTGGCATCATGGATTGTGCCTTCTAGCACGTAAAGCTCGTGCTAGCATATCTTGCCATATCATGTTTCAATTTTTCCAATTTGTTTTAGTAGCTCCAGTTAATAATAATTGCTTTAAAGTAATTAATTATTAATGTGCCTTTTAGGAATGTTATTTTTAATCATTAAAGAGTTGTGGTTTAGTTGGCATAAACTCTTTATTTTGTTAATTAAGACTTAATTTTTTAAAGAGATCAATGAAAATGTATTTTATTATGAATTCTTCTAGTTTCATTGGCAATATCTAATTTTTAATTAAAACAAAAAAAAGTTAATTTTTAACTATATATTTGACTTAAAAAAAATGAAGAAGAAAGGTAAAGAGGAGAGAAGAATAATATCATTTCATTCTCTTTCATTTCCTTCCTCTCTCTTCACTCAAACTTTTTATAACTAAATAAAAAAAATTATCCCCTTCTCCTCTCCTCTTCTCTTTTTTCTATTCCTTTTAACTCAAATATACTGTAAATTTATATAAACTAATTCAATAACACCCTAATAACTAAATTACATTTCTACTCTACGTAGAGTGCACTCATGCTGCAACCAAACAACATGAAATCCAATTTCAATTAATCGCCTACAAATGAATGAGAATCTATCAAGTCAGCCGGTAAACTAATTCAAAAATAATCTAACCATGCACCACATTTCCAGCTTACGTGGAGCGGATTCATGCTGCAACCAAACAATCCGAAAATCTAAATTCAATTAATCGCGCACAATTGAATGAGAATTTGTCGAAGCGGCCGATTAGAAACTCTCCATGTAAGCTACACCTCATTTCTGCGTCAAATTAGTACATTCCCTCCATGTGATAATTAGGCACCTCTTACCGATATATCAGATCCGATTAGAGTCTGCTGTGTCAGTAAATGAAGACTTCTTTGTGGCATAATTAAAGCAATGGTCATGACCACCGATAACTCTGTTTTACATCTTTAACTTTCAACTGTAATTTTATTAATTTATAATTTTTTAAATAATTAATTATAACATTTATTTTAAAATTTATTTTAATTTATTAAATAAAAATTTTAATTATATTATTAATTATTAACTATTTTTAATAATTAAATTAAAATAAAAATCTATTAATTATTAATTATTTTTAACAAATAAATCAAATTAAAAATTTATTAATTTTAATAATTTTAATAAAATAAATGATAGTTATAACAGTAGCTTATATATAATTAAGCCATTAAGGACTACTTCTAACCTTTGACCATGAGCCGACCATATATGATACATACCCAAATTAAGACAGTGACCCTCTGAACTTCTCGACCGACCAAAGAAAAAACACTTCCCTAGGGTTTGAACAAGGAGAAAGTCTTCTAAAGTGGTTTTTCTGTCTTGGCATTCGTTTTCATTTTCTTTGCCAGCTTTCAGACATATATGTACTTCCTAAATATAGGGAAAACGTGCCCAAATGGTACAATAAAAAAAAAAAAAAGCCTATTGACTGGATTTTTACATTGACTTAATAATTTATCAATTTTTGAATGTCTCTTTACAATAAATTTCCAGGTGGATTACAAGAGGGTTGGGATATTGTTGTCTATTTCCGCTATAGACTTGGGGTTGGTGAGTAAAAAGCTGGTTACGAATTACCGATTTGTTGGGTTGGATGAGAGGAATTCAACTTTTTTTTTAAATAAAATTTTGAATTCGAGTTTTATAAATGAAAATATAAATTTTGAAAAAGTTTTTTTTTATAATGAAACTCGACGTAACTCAATTATAAATTAATCGAGATTTAATATGGTTACTAAATATAAAAAATTCAGTATAAAAAGAAAAAAAAAATCGGCCATGGTAGGTAAGGTGTAACCCAAATCCATGATTGCCTCGAGTTTTTCGTTTATTGACCAGTACAGTAAAAGGTTTGAGTCCTAGTTGTACATTCACATGGGTATGCTCGCTGTGTTGTTATAGATACACTTTCGGGGGCACCGCTAGCCATAGCGGTTTTTTGTACTTTCTGTTAGGGTATTTTAAAACAATTTTCATATATTTAAATTTTTTTTACAAACAACTTAGAGAGTGCATCTTTACTTGAGCATATGATTTAGTAATAAAATTGTTTGTGCTGGAAGTCATATATTTAATATTCAATTTATTATTATTTTATATAAAAATAATATTTAAAATATCAAATTATGAATTAGTATTGGCACCTATAAAAAACTTAGAGTTTTAATAAATATTTTAAAAAATTAATTATTAGATTAAATAATCTATTAATTTAGATCATACATTTTTTTATTGAACATATTGTCTTGTTTAGACTCCTTAAAAGAACTCTCATGGGAAGGGGTTGAACTCTATGTACTTATAAGTCATAATATATCCATAAAATATTGAATTTAATTTTTAATTTTTAAAAATATTTATTAAAAGGTGATATTTTGAGGTTGAGATTCTATTTTTTAATTTATAATTAATATGTATTATTCTAATATTTTAAAATATTTATTAAAACTGTTTTTTTTTTTTTTGTCATCACCAAGCCTACTTTAGTGTTTGACCATATTTTCGTTTTAGAAGAGGAGGAGATGAATCCATTAGTAATTTAGTGTGACTCATGAAGCCCAAAATGAGATAAATAAATATCAAAAGGAAGTGACAGCCCATTTACTGATTAGAAGCGTAGGCCCTCTTTCATTTTTTCGGCTGAACAGCCTAGGCCGACTTTCAATGAAGCTGGGTCAGTTCAATTTGCCATCAAGGCCCAAAATAAGTTGGGGAAAAGACTAAAATAAACCCCCATGAACAAACATTTTAAAATAATGTTGTTATAATGTCTTTCCCATTCATAGACTGCCAGCAAATCAATCTAAATGCTCCACCTAAGACCATTCTAGATTTAATTATGCCACTAAATGCTGTCCATTTCATCTAATTATGCAATTTAAATTAGTGGGATGTGCATAACCACCCGTTGTGAGTTGGTTGTTCTCTTGTACCCATTCATCTAATTAATGCTTAATCCCTAATTTCATTACCACTTCCTTCGCTTCAGTGGGAGCAGGTGAAGGGGATTTTAGTTCCCTTTGACTTGGATTGATTAATTTCATCTTAGTTCTCAATTCTTCATTTTTAATATTTATTTGATTCAGTTTTTGAAAATATTTTTTAATTTTAAAAGTTAAAACTATGCTAAGTATAACTTTTAATATATTTCTTTAAAAGTTGTTTTTAGTTTTAAAATGGTAAAAATTAAAACATTTCTGTTAAATTAATGAATTTGATTATTTTTAATTATATATGAATTCATAATTTTTTTTAATCTTTTATTTCACTCCAGTACATACTAAATAACTTGAATTTAAAATTTTTTATTTTTAACAAAAATAAATTATCGGTAAATTATTTCGATAATTAACTATATAAATTCATAATTTAACATTTAATTGAGACAACATTACTAAGAGCGTTTTTGTCATGGGGCTTATCCCGTCCGCGAAAGGTAGCATCAAATTCACCGACACACGGCCAAAATCTCAACACGTGTCCGTTGACATTTCCATGGTGGACAAGGATACGCGTTGAGTCATCATTCTCTAAAGCAACATTCATCAACGTGGCATCCATTAGTCACTTCGCTTCAAAGATATTTAAATCAATGATTCTTACATGGATAAGATATTAAGTCTTCCGCGGACTTTGATAATATATAGAACTCATTCAGACCTCAGTCGTCGACGGCCAACACGGTATTGACTCCGACGCCGCCATGGTTCGGTCCGTAGAACCACTAGTTGTTGGCCAAGTGATCGGAGATGTGCTTGACATGTTTACACCGGCCACCGAGTTTACAATCCGTTGTGGCGACAAACAAGTCACTAATGGCTGTAATGTCAAGCCGTCCGCCGCCGCAGAGAAACCCCATGTTCAGGTTCTTGGTCTTCGGGCTTCTTCCAATTTATACACCCTCGTAATTAAGCATCTCTCTTTTTTCTTTTCTCCTTAATTTCTATTTATATTTTTATATGCAAGTATGATCATCATATACATGCAATACAGGTTATGGTGGATCCTGATGCCCCAAGTCCAAGTGAACCCAATTTAAGAGAATGGCTCCATTGGTAATGGTTTATTTGATTATGTACCTAACTACTTCATTTACTTTTTTCATGTGATATAGTATTATTTAAAAACAAAATATTATGTAGTTCAGATTGTATAACTTTAGTTATTAGATAATGTGCGTAATTTTTTTTACTTAATAATTTTTTATTGAATATATGTTGTAAAATATATTAAATTACAAGTGTATCAATTATCGTCCAAATCACATAACATCTGCTGTGACTTGGCATGTTACTGGTAGCTAGATCATGGTCCCCATTGTGTGGTCCTTACTCTAGGGATCATGAAACATCAGTGGTAACAGGTCTAATTGCTCAGGTGAGTACTGACCAGATTAATATACAAGTAGATCGAAGAATTAGGCCTAATCATCTAATCTAATTAATTGGTTTTTCTAACCATGTGTAACAATCACACATTTTTATAATTAATTTGTATAAAAGATATAAATGTTAGTTTTACTTTAATCAATTAGTCAATTATAAATATTCATATGATAATAGTATTAAAATAAAAATTAATTTTTTATGTAAATTAATTAAAAAATAATACATTTATCACACTTAACTTGCGTCCTAGGCAACCCTAATTAATGAACTAATTCAAAGAATTAACAACGTCATCCATGCAAATATTTTCCCTTCTTTTTTTCACCAAAGATTCTGTAATTTGGCTAATCCCGAGTAATATTAATTCTCGAGTTTCTTTTATTGAAAAAAAGTCAAGCTTTATATATATTTGGCTAGCTAGAAGCCACAATAGGTAGTCTCATAACTCACTTTTCTCCTCTTAATTTCTTTTCTTTTTCTCATTTAACATCTAATTTATTCAGTTTGCATGGATGACGAGATAAAGGTTCGAATAGTCATCTTATAAAAGAAATTTAACTTATCTTAGTTTGACACATAACTCAGATTCGTTAATCTATTTATGATTTAACAATTTGAACTTTGCAGCCTAATTGAAGTATACAGTTCCCTCGGCCATACTGCATATATATAATAGAACTGCAACTTTCAAGTTTCATACCATCGACATGTCTTGTGGGACCTTTAAATATGGTTGATTTGCGTTCATTGAATTTTTTCTATGAAGAAATACAGAAGATACGTTATAAAATGGAGTGGTTGTGAATATATGGTCAGGCTTGGAGCTAATCAATGAAAGCCTCTAAACTTCTCTCTTGGAGAAGAAAATAATATTGGGGGTTTTTACTTTTTAAGAAGCTTAAGGTCTAGCGCATGAGCTATGTGTGTATACCAGACAACCCAATAGTCTACTTTAGAAAGCAAATTCTGGGTAAAAACTGGACAATCATTGTTGTTCCAGTCAACGAAATTGAGCTTTCTTGGCATTTTTCTTTCTTGACAGCAAATGCATCTTATTCAAATTTCAAATTTGTGGTGAATAAGAGCCAAAATTGAGAGGAGACAATAATCACAGGGTATATGGCAAAGCTTTACAGGCAATTGTTTTAAAAGTATTATTTTTCTTTCATAAATATAAAATTTTGTTAGAGGAAAATTAAAAATTTGTTTTTATAGTATGTTTTAAACATGTTTTAAAAAAACTAAGAGTTTTAAAAAAGATTAAACATGTAATTTTTTCAAAACTTATTTAATTTTGTTTTTTTCTTTTAAACAAAATTTTATATTTG